TTTGGAAGTATATTGCCAGAACTTTCTTCTGAGGTACCTCTGGGTGGAGTCAAACCTCTAACCTTTTGGTTAGCAGCCAAACGTATTAGTTGTTCATATCGCCAAGGTATGAGTGTTAATTCAGTCAAGCAAATGGGTAGGATTCAATGAACTTCGGTGTTGACACTCTGAAGGCAGGTATGCCAGTAACTTCTAGGTCCTCCCTGCAGGATGAGCCATCATGTGGCCAATATTAAACACTGTGGCACTCCCCAGATGCAAGTATCCTGATATGTAAGATGACAAGCCCCTCTTCCTGCTGTCATCCCCCATCCCTCCTCCAGCCATTGGTTTGAATAGCCACCAAACAGTCTCCAGCAAATGCCCACTCGACAATAGCAGGAAGATGTCCACATGGATGACATCCTCCCTAGCACATCCTCTCACTCTTCAGGGAACAGTGTTTCCTTTTGCCTTCCCCCACTTATAGTTCAATGTATTTCACCTTAAAATATCTTATACATACATATTTAGTATTTATTATTCCATAAATTATTTTTTGTTTCCCATTATTACCTAAGTAAAATCTCAGGATATTTCTCTATTTCACTTGTGAGGAAAAAAGTTCCAGACTTGTATAAGAAGTTTAAATAAAAAGAATGATGTCTTTTAATTAAGGAAAAGAAAAGCTGGAACTTTGAGGGTTATATTAAACTTATCAACAGTTAGTGGCAACTTCTGTAAAGTCCTCTATGGTGACTACTGGTTCTATTAAATTTCTGCAATTTCATGGTTTTTAACAATTTAAACCTGTGTATCTGTTATCACAAGCAGTCAAAATATACACAGAATTCTGTAGTATTTCATTTTCTTGTGTTTAGTTACTAGCCTGGCAAAATATTATGTGCTATAAATGTTTTATGTTAAGTGCCTACAGGAAAAGATAATAAAGAGGATGGGATCAAGAACTGTTGGAGAAGAAGGGGAACATCACGAAAGTCATAACAAAGAAAGGGATAGTTGAACTGGATTTTGTAGTTTGAATAAAACTTTTTCATTTGGCTGAATCAAAGAAAGATTCTAAACACAAGGAACAGTGTGTGCAAAGGCTCAGAGGTAGGATAGCAATTGATGCATTTGAGGAATGTCAAAGTTCAAAATAACCCATTACCGTTGTGATAGTTGGAGCTGTGTGTCAATTTGGCTGGACCATGATTCTGTGTGGTTTAAGCAATTGTGATGTGTGGGTTGTTCCCATGACGGGAACAGATGTATATGTTTTGAGCAGCCAACCCACTGACAGGGAGTTTCCCTAGGGGTGTGGCCTGCTTCCAGTATATTTATGGACATCCTGGGAAAAGAGACACTCTTCTGTGGATCGGGATTCTGTTTTGCTGCCTACAACTGTCCGTGAGTGAACAATACACCATTCAGCCTGGAGATCTTGGATTCATCATTCGTTGGAGCCAACAGCCTACATACTGCCTGCCAACCTTGAGCTCCTCAGCCCCTGCAGCTGCATGAGTTGGGAAAAGCCTGCAGCTTGATGTTTGATCCAAGAACTTGGGACTTGCCAGCTTGTATACGTGTGTGAGCCATTTTCCTAAGATAAATTTCTCTCTCTCTCTCTCTCTCTCTCTAAGCTTTACTGGTTTTGCTTCGCCGGAGAACCCAGTCTAACCACTGGGTTGATTGTGACTATCAGTGACCCTATACGACAGAGTAGAACTCCCCCACAGGGTTTCCAAGGCTGCAATCTTAATGGAAGCAGACTGTCACATCTTCTCCCACAAGAACCGCTAGTGGGTTTGAACCACCGACCTTTCGGTTAGCAGCCAAATGCTTAAGCATTGTGCAACCAGGGCTCCATAAGGAACACCAAGTTGTTCAATATTGTCAAACTATAAATTATTTGAAGACAATGAAAGAAGAGATAAGAGAGGGAGACAGAGAGCAAGCCTTGCTTCTTGGGTGTTTTGGGGACCTTTTTACCATAAAAGTCATGTACCCCCTACATGAACTGAAAGCAGCTTGAACTGTTGCTTCCTTTTGTTATGTTAGCTGCCATGGCCCCATGCACAACAGAAGGAAATGCTAACTGGTCCCGCACCATCCCTATGCTCAACCGCAGATTGCACCATTGTGGTCCCTAGGGTTTTCTTTGGCTGATTTTCAGAAGTAGATGGCCAGGCCTTTCTTCCTAGCTTGTGTTGATCTGGAAAGGTCTGCTGAAACCTGTTCAGCATCATAGCAACATGAAAGCCTCCACTGACAGATGGGTGGAGGCTGGGTAGGAGGTGCATTGGCCAGGAATTGAACCTGGGTCTTCTGCAATGAAAAGTGAGAATTCTACCACTGAACCACCAATGTTTTCCCTAGACAGGACATCCCTTTGTAAAACGAGGAAAATGCCAGATGTTTTGAAATATTTCACAAGTTTTCCTGAGGACCTCACTGACATGTCGCCATGTGAAAATGGCACAGCTGAAGAACACCTGATGCTCAGAGGACATGTGTCATCAGGAACCAGACGAGTGAGGAAAAAGTATGAGACAATTTGGAAAGTGAAGCAACTTTCTTTTGGGGTGTTGCATCCTATCATGCCATGCTTTGTGTAGCCACAGGAAGGTTTTATGTCCATCCCAAACCATGTGAGCCCCTCACCTCCCTGAGAAGGGGAAGGCAGGAGAGGAAGAAGAGGAGGCAAACAGATACCTTTTGGGGAAATGATGAAATTGTGCTGGCTTCCTTGGAGGCAGAGCAAAGGAGGCCCCAGACCAAGGTGCAGTCCCTCTGGAACCAGAGTGAGTGCTGAAATGGTCCACTGATGGTGAGGCCGTGGTCAAGAGGAATACTGAGTGTCAACTAGCCATACTTTATTACTTTCAGAAAAATGTACTCTCTAAGCAATAAAAAGTTAAAGGAGTTCTGCTTCCTTTCTGTAGTATTGCTTTTCTGGGAATTAGACACTCACTAACACACAGTATAAATAATACTCTGCATACATCCACACAGACATGCTAACACCTCTGGAATTAGGTAGTTTTATCAAAGGCACTGTTGGGAATATGAATTTTGATCTTTAAATTAATTGACAAAAACCAAGAGTGGAAACTGGTGAAGAGTCATAGTTAAGCTTCCCACCCTGGTGGACTTCCCCGTTGTCTTGTCTGAAGCACATGAAAGATATCAAGCCTTTAGCATTACTTCACTCCTTCTGAGCAGGACCCAAAGCTCTGGGCATCTATTTCCCAGTTGCCACACAAACCTCAGAGTCTCATTGGTTTCCTTCTGCTTCCTAAATTCTTATTTTTTACTAGAGACCAACACATTTTGTTTTGTTTTTTCCCCTTTAAAATATTTTCTTTGCTAGAATATTACACACATACATATGATATATATATATATATATATATATATATATATATAAATAAAAGAATGTGCCTTTTTAACCATTTTTGAGTGTACAGTTCAGTGACATTTGTTATATTCACCATGCTGTGCTACCATGGCCACTATGTATTTCCAGAAGTTTTTCATCGTCCCAAACAGAAACTCAGCATCCTCTAGGCAATAACACCCCATCCCTTGCTCCTCTAAGCCCTAGCACCCAAACCAAACCCACTGCCATGAGTGGGTGCTCACCCATATTGACCCTATATCTCACAGTAGATACAGGGCTGTAAACCTTTATGGAAGCAGACTGCGTCATCTTTTTTCCATGAAGCAGCTAGTGGGTTCGAACTGCTGACCTTTTGATTAGCAGCTGAATGCTTAAACACTGTGCCACCAGAGCTCCCAAGTCCCTGGTAACTACCCATAAACTTTTGTCTCTATGTATTTGCCTGTTGTAGATATTTCATATCCCCAGGATCATACAATATTTGTCCCTTTATGTCTTAGTTCACTCAGACCACTACTTTTTTAATGATATTTGAAATATATGGACTATTTAGAAGACATTGCTAACATTCTATATTTTAAATAGCAATCTAAATTAAGCAATTTAACAAAAATAAAGTTTTTGAACTAAATTATTACAAAAAATTGGGCAAATTTTTATTTCCTAATCTCTTTCCAAGAGAGAGAGAGGGAATTTTTGGTTATCTCTTTGGTCTAGTCTCCCATCTCTCACCACCAATGGCATGTCAGGATTCCACTGCAGAGGACTAGCCAAGACTTCAAATGCATAAACACACACTCATATTCTTTCTTCTCAAGTGAACCCACCAATTCCAAATATCCACCAATGTAATCTCCAAGAGAAGAGGCCACTCTGCAGTCAGTTACAGAATTCTCAGTCTATGGTGTGTGGAGCCCCTTGGGAACCATTATAGGGATCCCAAGCAGCGTTGTGGTTGTTGAACCCACTGTGAGAAATGCAGCAAAGTTCTCCACAACTGTCCCAAACACAGCACGTTCTGAGAACATGACAGAAGTCCCTATGAATCATCATTTCCATATTCGTGAGTCAGGCAGTTTTTCCTGACACCAATGGGAGAGTTTGTATCGTTGTCATTTTTCAAAAGAGGAAACTGAGGCAAGGAAGTTTACCAACTTTCCTAGGATGTAAAAGCTTCCAGGCCAAACTCAGTCCTGGGAACATTACACAGACTGCAGTTCCATGGTCAAACATTAGAAAAATATATTTTACTTTATACAAAGCATTATAAAGAATGAGCAACCCAAGAAGAGTATTCTCGTGGAAACATCTCTAACTTGTCAACAAGACATTTTAGAGGCAGGACTGACATCCTCCCCACAAGGCCACCAAGAGGGGAGCAGAGCCCAGAACCCAGGTTTCTTGATTCCCAGTCTATGTTCCTTCTACCATCCCTCTCCTGATTTTAAGATGCATTTCTCTAATAGAACAAAACATTCATTAGTCACAAACCTAGGACCCCACGCGGCACAGTTTGTCTGTCTGCCTTTCCCTGTTTTTATGGCCACGACTCTCCACTGAAGGGACTAAAGAGCAATCGGAATTGGCCGTTACCTTTGACACCCCAGAATCAATTTACCTGGAAAGCTGTGGAGAGCATCTTCATTTTCCAGAACGCCTCTCTGCTTGGTTGCCTGCAGCTCACTTTTGGATTTCCAAACCAGCTTGACCATCCTGATCATCTCTGGCAAGTCCCAGGGCAGCGGCCCCTGCTGGCACCCCGTCTGGCTGCCCAGCGAGGAGGGCAGCACACCTTCTGGGGCTGTCCACCTCCTGCCTAGCTCTGCCGAGTGGAAATACCGCTCTAGCACAGGCATTCTGCCCTGTTCCCCAGAAGAGGAGGTAGGGCTGCTGTTGCTGCTGCGGCGGCGGCGGCTGCTAGCAGAGGGGAAATTCTTTTCCAGGCAGGGGAAGACAAACCCCTGTAAAAGCTTTTCCAGCTTCAGGAAGGGGAGGCTGCTCCAACCTGGCACAGCTTGCCTGCCTCTCCAGCCCCTCCACAAACACTGCCGACGAACGGACGAGCGCAAGTCACTTCCCAGGCTTTCTCACTGCTGAGGAACTGTTACTACACTCCTTCCTTAGAGATAGAGTGCATTTTTTTTCCCCTCCTCTCTCAGGCACTGAGTTCACAGCACTTAATTAATCCCAGGCTACAACTGGAACAACAGCAGAGAGAGAAAAAAGAAAAAAAAAAAAGCAAAAAATAGTCAAGGTTTGAGCGTTCACTTTTCCTCTTCTTCCTTCTGATGTATTTGTTCTGCAATTCTGTTTTGGCCCTGGTTACTGTTATTAGGTGCTGTCGAGTCTGTTCCAACTCACAGGGACCTCACATACAACAGAATGAAACACTACCTGGTCCTGCTCCATCCTCGTAGTTGTTGCTATGTGTGAGCTCATTGTTGCAGCCATTCTGCCAGTTCATCTTGTTGAGTGTCTTCCTTTTTTTTCGCCGACCCTCTACTTTACCTAGCATGATAGTCTTCTCCAGGGACTGGTCCCTCCTGATAACACGGCCACAGTATATAAAATGAAGTCTCGCTATCCTCCTTTCTAACTTGCATAACTTCCTCCAAGACAGATTTGTTTGTTCCTTTGGTAGTCCATGGTATATTCAATATTCGTTGCCAATACCAAAATCCAAAGGTGTCAATCCTTCTTCAGTCTTCTTTATTCATTCTCCAGCTTTCGCATGCTGTTTTGGTCCTCTAGTGCCACTCTAACAGAATATACCACAAGTGGGTGGCTTTAACAAACAAAGATTAATTCTCTTACAGTTTAGGAGGCTGGAAGAATAGTTCAAAGTGCCAGCTCTAGGGGCTGGAGGTATCTCTTAACTCAGGCAGCTGCTGACTGCTGAAGCTGACAAAGCTAACATCGACAAATAAAATGGCACAGTCCCAAGATTATCAAGCAGCATAGAAGGCACTAGTTCATGTTCAGAAACAGTCCCAAGACATGGCAGACAACCTGGCAGGCCACTGAGATGAAGACTCAGCCAAACACAGGATCCAGATATGCCAAAAGGCTAGAAACCATTCTCAAAGCTTCTTATATACAGGAAGCAGACCACATCACTAAGGCAGCTAGCTACTCAGCTGCTCACAGTAGATTCCACCAAGGAGTTGATTACCAGTCTTATCATGGGGAATCACTACATCCAGTTGCCTAGCCACTCAACCAGGCCCAGCCAAGTTGACACACAAACTTAACTACCACACATGCCTATGATGCAATTGAAAATACTGTGGCTTGGGTCAAACGCACCTTAGTCTTCAGTGTGACATCTTTTCTTTTTTAAAAACACTTTGAAGAGGTGTTTTGTAGTTGATTTGACCAATGCAATACATCGTTTGATTTCTTGACTACTGCTGCCGTGGTTAAAGTGTGTCAAATGGCTTGTTTAGCCATAAAGGACTTCACACAAAGGAGCAGGGCTCCCCCTCTGCCAGCCTTTCAGAGGCATTCCCCGGAGGCTAACTGTCTTGAGGTGTCAGGTGTGGAGTAGTTCTGGAGGTACAGGATGCTGAGAAGCTTCCTTAGCTCTGGCCCTGCCTGCAGCCCAAAGGAGCTCTTGGGGTACAGAGGAAGCAGAACCAACCCAGAGCTGCTTCTCTCTGGAAGGCCTGGCTGGAGGCCACCTTGCCCGTCTACTATGACTTGCACTTGGATGGCATTATTTTGGGTTTTTCTAAGTACCATAGTTCACACCCCTTCCTTCTTCCCATCCCTTACCACCGCTGTGATTTGGTTCTCAGCAAACCTAACTGGTTTTGGCCTATTAGTGAAATCCCTTTGTAACCTCAGCTGCCCTTCAGCTGGAAGGGAAATAACACTGAATCACATTCCAAAGCTAATTCTGAAAAAAGTGAATTAGGGAAGTATCAAGATCTTCATGCATACATGGGAGGGGCTATGTAATCTGGACAGATGGTTTGCGATTGTTAAAAATCTATGTCCAAGGAAAAGTAATAATGATTTTAAAGTGTATTTCTGGAGACAAACATGGCAGTAAAAACAAAAGAAAAAGTGTTGGAGATTCACTTTCCAGGGAGAAGCACTGTGGACTTAATATCTGGGCCACCAACTACTGTGCCTCCACCTGAGAGTGGTTCAATTGAGGACAGTCCTGGCCCTTGCGATGCCTTCATTTGCGTCTTAAGAGGGAGCACCCCCTATAGCTCATGTGAAAGGCCTTGGACATAAGCGAAAGTAGGATGGTATTGTATTGTACTTTTGCCAGCAAATTGGGTTTGTAGGAACAATTTGAGCTTGAGTGTTCATGTGGCTATCTCCTGTTTTCCTGGAGGACATTATAACAATCCCATCTTTCTGTCCTCCTCACATCTCTGCGTTGCAAAATGCTTTATTTTGCTTGGCATTTTATTTTGCTGGTGTACAATCTGTTGCTCCTGCTCTACATTCCTTTCAGGGCTGGTTTATCACACAATGATTTGATGTTTCTTTAGGGGGGAGCAGAGGAGACTTGGAGGAGGGGAGAAAGACTGCTGTAGAGTATACTTTTTTTTCATTGCCCCATTTTTTTTTTCCTTAAAGTTGAAACCAGCAAAGGCTACCATAGTTTTTTTTTGTTGTTGTTGTTATTATCATACCTCTAATTCCATGGTTAGTAAGTTTAGTTTTCCAAACAGAATTAATTGACTATTCTTTCTTTCCTTTTTCTTTTGGGTGGAAAAGTACACTGGAAAGCCTAGTACTCTCTTTTCCTAAAAGGTGAAGAAAGGTCAACATCCTTTGAAGTGTAAAACAACATTAAAAGTCATAGAAGACACTATATAAATACACAAAAAGTGGTGTCCTTTCTAGAAGGGGTCCTATTGGCACAATGGTTAAACTCTGGGCTGCTAACTCAAGCAACAGCAGTTCGAACCCATCAGTGGCTTCTCTGGAGAAATGAACTGGTTACCAGGTGATCTGCTTCCATACAGATTTCAGTCTAGGAAACTCCACGAGGATGTTCTATTCTGTCCTACAGGGTCACTATGAGTTGGAATTGACTTGATAACACACAGCAGTGTCTTTTATTCAAATCTTTTGATCTGACAATTCTTTCTTCAACAACCAAATATTCATACAACCCAGTTAGCGAATAATCAGTGGTCAGGTTGTAAGAAAGATGGGCCTTCCTTAATTTCTCTCATTGTTAAGAGTTGAAAGGTCTTAAGCATGAGTTTGGTGCTTCCACCATTTCTCACAGCCATTCCTCTTCTCATCTCCCTCTTGTATCAGACTCTCTAGAATGGAGAGAATTTTATTTAATAAGCACATGTCGCCTGTTGTACTCTATCAGCATATTTCCTGAATAGTGTCTTCAACTCACTTCTCAGGCACAAGCTTCCTTGACATAACAACTGAAGAGTTTCCTAAGTATTTGACTATTTTTATTCTTGTTCAGTTATTTTGCAATAGTACTTAGCATCAGGATATCCTGACCCTTGGAACAAAGGGGTTAAGAACAAAGAAAATAAATTTATGATATAATATGTTATACACACTAATGTATTAAGAATATAACTCTTTGTTACACATTTGTTGAAGAATGACATTCTTTTTATCCAAGGATTAAAATTTCCACTGTATTCTCTATATTGTTTTACATATTTCCTTATTAAAATATCTCAAAGAAGTACAAAATGTTGAATCATTGAACACCAGTCCTTGCGAGTGGGGATGAGTGAAATGGTTAAGGTCATCTAACACCATTTCAAATTTTTATTCCAAAGTTGGAAACAATTTCATTTGAAATTGAAAACGTTTGCCCGATTTAAACAATTTTTCCCCAATATGGGATTATCTTCATCCCAGAGTAGAAGTGCAAAAATACCACAAGAAAGGTCGTTCTCATGGTATTTCTGGCTCACATAGAAACAGGAAGTACAGGAAATCTTGCGAGAAAGCTTGGCTCAGGAGATTTTTGGCTCAACTGCAGACCTCAGAGATTGGGACAAACTGATGAGATGCTAGCACTTGTTGAAATAAAATCTCTCCACCACATTAATTCTCTAAAAGCTGGTTTTATTACATTTCACAGCTAACATCTAAGCTGTGATCTCTTTTGTCTTTTAGATGGTTACTTCAGAGAATATGACTGTAAGGCTATGATTTTTCCCTTACTTAGTGAACATCATTCACCTTGAGACAGTGTCTGCAGGCTGAAATTTGGATCACTGGGATAGGCATAAGGAATGGGTGGGGAGGTTCTGTGCTTCAGGAGTCATGGAGCAAAGAGATCTCTTCACCTGTGTGACTTATAAAAATTCTTGCAAATGTTAACATCTGTAATTAACATGCTACAGATAGGAAGTTTTAAGATAGACTCTCAAAATAACTTCATTCATTGTTTAGGCATTGTGAGTCAATCTAACATTAAGTGGAAAAAAGAGTAATTCTCTTCTTGCCTTAAAGAAAGTAATGAGAATTAACAAAGTCAAACCAGCTTGTTTCAATGGACACCTAGCTCTATCAAAAATATTTTGCTGTGTAGTTGTACCTATAAAGGAAAGAACTGATAACTCTAACACTAAAGTGTATGGCCAAGAAGAAAGAGTCAAAACCAGTTGATGCGTGACCTGGATTATTTTGAAGGATTTTTAGTGTTCTGGGCCTTTGTAAAAATCTTGAAGGATTTTGGATGCTGTGGCATCGTGCCTAAGGAATTTAACTGCTAACCAGAAGGCTGGTGGTTCAAACCCACCAGCCACTCCTTGGAAGGCAGACTGGTCAATCTACTTCCGTAGAGATACTGCCTTGGAAACCCAAGGAGGGGTTGCTATGGCTTGGAATTCACTTGACGGCAGTGAGTTTGGTTTTGGTTTGGAATCACTGGACAAAAAAATATTCATTAAATATGATTTTAAAAATAAAATATTAATAAAATCAAATCCTTCTAAGAATTTCAATGTGCCATTTTTAAAAAAGTAATCTTAGAAACATTAATTTCAATTTTCTTAATTTTATATCTCTCACTATATTGTTACAACACTTCATTG